TTTTTCTGATAACCCAATTACTTGCATCCAAAAGTTCTCTTTCATGCCTTATCTTTATTGGGTACTCACCACATCTTTGGAATGTAAGTTCTACTTTTTTGTGTCTTTTTTTCTTTTTTGGTTTTTTGTACACTTTACATTTTATGATATTTTCTTATTCCGACTGTAATATTTGTTCTTTCATAATGATAGCATTCTTGGTATGAATGTGTATATCCACACTGTATCAAGAAGTTTTGATATTAATCAAAGACGAAATAATAACACTCGCCCTTTGTTTCACTTTCATTCTTCCTAATTCTATTATCCGGTTAATTTTTCAGTGATTTCCCATCAAATTTGAAGAAGATTACTACAGAAGAACTATTGAATGGGTAGAAAGAAAACAACATTGGAAAGATAGTCTATATTCAGTTCGAAATCAACAGATATTTATTATTCTTAAATCAATGGTCCACAACATATCAATCACTCAATCACTCATACAAAGTTGTTTTGTGTGATTTTTAATCAATATCATTCAAAGCTTTTGGACAACCAAGGTATGAAATTTACTCCAAAGCGATGTGTATACCATAGCTACTAGTAAAAATGTGAAAATCATTCTCAAAGGGAATAATAACTATAACAACAATTCTCTGTACAAAACAACAACAAAAAATAAATAAAATAAAAATGTGTGTATATATATATATATATATATCCACACGCACTCGTGTCGGATCATTCAGTGAACCACATGGACGTACATGATCAGACACCAGAAAAACTTCTGTTTACAGGGCACAATCTTCAACAGTACCAATTGGCCTTCGAGACCCACCAGAATATAAAACCAAATACTGGAAAGAATTCAAACGCTACCACTTGTACAGTAACCTCGGGCTATAGACGCAACAGCGTGTGAACGTATTCCACCCACATTAACCAGCCCACCTGCACGAGCCAAAGAGCGAGGGCTGTTTTAATAAGCGATCTGAATTCGATGGCCGTTGCGAGGCCAGACCAGCTGTGCGAATCCGATTGGGAGCTAGATTCTCTATCAAGTGTGGGAGCGGAGATCGCCGTGATGGCATTAATGGAAGATTGGGCTGCATAGGCCTCAGGGCTTCGCTAACCCTTCTCTCTTATAAATCCGAGGCGACGCATGATCTCAAACCACGCACCTGACTGTGCGCGCAACGCTCGATGAGTAACTGAAGCGAGCGCATGTGTCTGCAGGCGTGAAATTAGCAACGATAATCTCATTCAAGTCTGTTGACAATTACCACCTTTGATGGCCCGTTGGGCCCCGCTGTCTCGGAAACAACGCGGCACCGAAGTGTCATTAACTGCAGTAAACGAACAGGATTCCATGTTTCTCACGTTGGAGCGATGGCATGAGGTTCTCGGGATTCAGTCCCACCTGACCGCCGTTGGAACAGTCATTACAAGAGTTTGCGTTTTAAACTGGTGTTTTTTGAGTGATCGACGACATGGGATCATGGAGTGAGACATGGAGCGAGCCGCGAACGTATCCCTAGAGAAACCTAGACCTGATGTGGGACGCTTTGGGAGGCCCATTTCGAAGAGTTTATCAGTCTTCGCTTTCGTCTTCACCAGAATGGTCCACTTCGATCGATGGCATGCACAGTGCAAATTGGAATCGATGAGTGGCTTGCTCCTTGATGCAGCACTTGCCTCGCGGATGCCGTGCTTCCTCAGGCTCAAAGTCTTCCTTAGATCCCTTACGATTACCACGGAATGTGTTCGCGACGGTGCAGTTACTCAGTTTCGATCGAAGACCACAATACTTTCGAAAAAGACTAGCTGGAGATATACTGCAATGCCTCAAAATCCGGAGTCGATCGATTTAAACGTACCTGACAGACAGATATACAGAGAGATCCACACACTCAGAAACAGATCAACTAAACAGATCGTCATGTTGGGATGTATACGAGGGATCCAGTCGTTGTTTGCTGCTTTCTCTTACATGTGTGGGAAAAAATGAGTATATATGTAGGGTAGTGATATTTCTACCACAGATTTTCTTACTGCCACCATAACCCCATAATACACTGGCGTTGGGACTCACTTTGCCACCCAAATGGGGAAAAAATTGTATTTCTTACGTTTTCTTTTGTTACAAGCCACTCATTCGTGTTAGATAATCTGAACTTTTTTATTTGTAATATTTTATATTTATTAATATGGTGCTGTATCTGATTCTGTTGCCACAATGTAAGCTTAAGAGGGGTCACTTTTCTGTGTAAGAAATTGTGTGATATATGTTTTGGCTAAGATATAACAAAAAAATAATAATAATAATTAAAAAATTCAAAAAATTCAAAATTAGGAAACTTACTGAACTTTTTTCGAATAAATAATTTATCACTATTATATTTAGTATAACTTGTAGTAATATTTCTATTTTGGAACCAAAACATGATCTGTGATAGTACAAAATTTAATAATCTTATTAATATGAAAACTGATTCAATCAGCCAAAATTTAAACATACATAAATTTAATTTTGCTAAGCTAAGCCAATCAATTGAGTCAATGCAAATAAATCAAGCCAATGTAATTGATCAAGTTAAACCTGATATCTAACAAATTAGGACATTAAGTCAGCATATATGTATCTAGGTAGTAAAAAGTTATGAAAAAATAAAGAGAAAAAGTAGATATTAGAATATAAAAATATTAACAGATAAGAAATGAGCAGAAATTAACTAAAAAAACATTGTAATTGAGCAATTCAAGAAATTTCCACAAAAAGACTATATGTAACAGTGATGTTCCTAAAATCCTTTATGAATAATTTAAGGAAGTAGCCTTGGATTCTAAAGTAAAATTATTGGTTTTATACAAGTGTTTTACCAAGTATTTTTATACTGTACTAGATTCTTGTGTATTGTGTATTGTGTATTTTTTTAAATTGAATTTTAAATATTATAAAAAATTTATAGATTGATAATTATATTGATTTTCTAAATTAGTTAACTATTGTATTTTAATAAGGAAAAGTACAAGAAAAGACAATGAGAAAATGATAGTTTGATTTTACAAAAAAAATATAAAATTGGCTTTATTGAAGATTGGAAATAAGTCTTAGACAAAGATAATGTGCCTAACCTTTTAAAGTTGACAAAGTAGCAAGCATGAATTGAAGATTTAAATAAAAAAGATCAACCAAAAAATCAACCAAAAAATGAACCTAGAGATATGACATTAGAAAAGAAGATCTTGATAGTAAAATACATATAAAGTAAGATATTATATTATCAATTGATGTTATTTTTATGTGTCATTGCTGCACTAAAAATTTAATTATTAAATGTACTACATAATGATGTACTAAGTTTAATCTATTTAAAACCTTAGAAAGAACTAAGAACTAATTTCTTACTATAAGAAGACAATAAAAATCAATTATACTTAGAGGAATAAGAAAAGTTTCATAGGTTTACAAATATATATATATATATATATATATATATAATATTTTTTATACCAAAAGTTTAAAAATAAGAAAAGTAAATATTAATATATATATAAACTTAAAAAATACATACATAATAAGTAAAAAAAAGATTATTTGAGACCATTTTCCAAAAATTCACATTTTACAATCTTATAATATATATACATACAAGTTAGTAACAATTATATATATATATATATATATATATATTTTTCTTTTTCTATTATAAAATGATAATAATCTTTAGATATTATTATACTTTTAAAGTTAGAAAAATTAAATATCTAAATTTTTTCAAAAAAAAACTTTAGATATTTATCAATCTTGGATGTTACATTAACAGAAAGAATATTTTATTAGCAAAATTATTCAATTTAGGAATATGCAAAATTACAAAAAATGGCTTAGTGACTTGATGTCTAAATTCTTATATTTCATCAGTAATCCTTTTGTCCAAAGTCAAAAACTTTGGATGTAAGTTAGTCTATGCTTCAATAGTTTAGAAGTTCAAATTCAACTTTGACAAATTGAAGATTATTTACTATCTTTAGTTATTTTTTGATTATTATATTTCTTGCAAAATATCAATACTTAAATACTAAAGTCAATAACTATTTCTTGCACCAAAGTTAATTAGTTGTAAGAAAAACCTATATCAAGAAAGTTTCAAAACCAACTATTGGTTTGAACTAGATTACTTACAATTCAACTTTAATAATAAAATAAAATAAAATAAAATAAAAATAATTATACTTAGATGGATCACACAATAATAATGAAACTCTATAACACAATTACCTTAAGTAAAATCCTTGATTAAATATAATAACAATGGCAACAAATGTATCATTACCAACAACAATATTAATATACATTTATACTACTCCTAAATAATTAAAGCAACTAACATTATTTCCATTACTTATTATTATGCTCTAATTTTTTTAATCTAGGTATAAAGTTCTTAGGTAGTTTGGATAATTCTTACCTAGCTTCGACCATGTTGTTTAAACTCTTAGTATTATCCAAACTTTGTTGGTTTGGATGTATTGCTTAGTTAGTTAGATTACTTAACATCACTTATCAACAAATAGATGTTTAGTATAAACAAATCAAAATATGTGGATAATTTATTATATATGAGATATCACTCATTATATTTATTTATTTTATCTTCTAATTTTTTTTTTAAGATTTAAAACCATTTATATATTTTAAATTGTGATTTATTAAGACTCACATCATTTACAAAAATATAATTCGTATTTACTCTATTTATTTTATTTTTGCATAGGTCTTGGACCAACCTTAAATGCCATGCCATACGTTTTATTTGTTTTTCTTTTTCAACACACAAGAGTAACATTTTTGAAACTCAATCAAATTGTCAAACAGAGAACCAATTATGATTTATAAGACAATATGCTAAGTAACTAAACTTGCTGACATGTTTAAAATTGAGTTGAATAAAAAAATAAATCTTTTTAATAAATAGAAACACAAAAAGCATAAGACATGTAAAATTAACAGGTATTCAAATCCAGCACCTCTGTCGTGCAACTTAAAAGTACGTAATTTTCCAATAAAAAATGCCTAAGTTTAACAATAGGAAATTCGAGTACTATAATTTATAATTATAAAATTCATGTAGTTCTTTTTTCATTCATGTTTTCACTTCAAGACTACCAATTATTTGAAAAATGTCAACCCGAATGATTCATCACCATCAGTTTGATTGTTAGATTGCTAATAATACCTCTTTATTCATTTAAAAATTCGGTCCTAACTCTCATTCGTACACATGCCTCATAGTTGAATGGCTCCGAAGCTATAACCAGGGCTTCTGACAGTGCCTTGAGCATCTCCACAAGCATTTAAGAAACTGAATAACTCCAGTTTCGGTTGGATCTGCAATGTCACTTTCTCTTCGCTGCAGCACACCCAGGAACTCTTCCATGGTTAATAGGCCATCAGCATCGGTATCAAAAATATGGAATATTATATCCATCACCACATCCGTAAGTTGGACATCGCATAACTGCAATTCAAGGATACATGATAGTCAGATGTACCCAGAAGACCAAGATCCTTGAATTGTGAAAGATAGCACCACAGAAAAGGGCTAAACAACGTGGGCTGAAGCACATACATGTTATTGCAGGACGTAAAAAATGGGGTTTGGTTGATCTAGAAGCAATTCTCATACGAAAATTAGTTATAGGCGACTGTCACGAACCTTAACAGCAGCACGCTGAACGTCGTTTTTAGTCAATTTTCCCTGAATTTTGCCAAAGGAAGAGATTGCCATTGCCAAAACGGGAATCTTCTTTCGCAATTGAGCAAACTCAAGGAATTCCTGAAGTTTACACCAGGATGCAATCGACTTATTGCACTAGATTCATTGAAGTACAGACTCATGTATAGCGATCTAGAACAAAACTTTGATTTACACAAATGAAGACTTCCGTTTTTGAAACAAAATGGATCTGGGGCTTTCTAAGCGTCTAATGTGTCTAGAACAGTCGGCATAAAAGTCCCGTGCCACTCAACTTCAGATGCATAGATTCGCCAAATCCAGAGAAAGTCTAGTGTCAAAACGATAAACACATCATGTTCATTCATTACATCAGCTGCACAAATTGCCAAAAGTGCTAGAAGGCCCAAGCCAGAAGGAGACTACAATTCGTTGAACTCGTGTAGAGGAGATCCTCACCTCCAAGGTAATTCGCGTAGTGGAGAACTGGGCGTCAGTTGAGAGATCGTGGACACGATCCAGATAATGATGCAACTTCGATAAATCTGCAGAGGCTGCCATTGACAAACCAAAATCTGTAGCTGAAATGGTCCCCCGATTATCGTAGTCATAATGAGCAAATTCAAGACGAATAATCTGTTGCATAGGTCCAAGTCAAAGTGTCACGTTGACTGACGAATGTCAATTACAAGTATATTTCAACAAAAGTAAAATAGAAGCGAAATTTCTGTATGACATAAAACCAGCGTACCTCTTCGTGAAGTTCTTTCAGAAATCTTTCAAATTGTGTCAGTGGAAGTTGGCGATTGCCATTGGTGCCGAAAAAGAATTCTACCATTCCAGCATTATCAATGTCTTTAGATACACCCAACCCAGTGCGAAGGCCATGGGTATGAGACTTGCCAACGCGAGTTTGCGCCCGCATCCAAGTCATTACTTTCTTAAATTCAGCCCTGTCAATCATTCTAAGGCAACAATCCATGCAAGCATTTAATTAAAATAGAGATGGCAACTGAAGTTGGGAAACAAGATCGCTACAATCATCCCACAAACACTGGATTTTCACAGAAACAAAATGCTTTCCGGAGAACGTTCAGTTTTAAAGTTCCTAATTCATAAACTCAAGGGTGTCTGTTATGTTTGATTGTTAAAAATCAGGTAATGGAACTTTTCAAATTATAAATAGATGAACAAATAACCAATCAATCAATCTTACCCGTTCTCGTCCAAATCGAACATTCTAAAAGTTGCACTGAAGTTCTTTTCAGGGATGCTCAATAGTGTAATAAAGAAGATGTACCTGAACAGAATATCATAAAGGAGATCTAATCAGCATAACACCTTGACACAGCGAGCATACCCAAAATCATTCGTCCGCTATATGACAGTTAATTCGAGCAAGTGTAGTCAAATATCATGCTGGGAAACTTACTCTGGAAATGAAATTAAACCGTCTCCATTTGTGTCGAATAGCATGAAGAACTTTGAAGGAGAACATTTCAATTCTCCGGGGTTCCTCTCACCTTGAAGGTGACCCCCTCTGACCATGTGTGAGCCTGTTGGTGGGAAAACTGGGACTGTTGCTCTCATCAAATCTCCGGCTGTCATGAAAAAGTGACCATCCCCATTTCGCACTGACGAGAAATATTGGAACACCTACATATTTACTTACATCCTTATTTCCTGTGTCTATAAAACATTAAGAATATAACTATAGTCAAGTACCTGAGAGAACTATCCTGAAATATATATTCATAAAAAAAACGTCCCATTCAGAAAGGGTCCGTCGTAATGGGGTTAGGGCATATTCACCTTCTCAGGAGGGCTACGCATACGAAGTCGTCTCTCATAGTTGAAAAATATCCGCCGTCTGAACTCTTCTGCAAACAAAATCACGGATTTCCCACAGTGAGCTAATTGCATAATTGTGTCAACACGATTACCGTGCAGTACTGAAAATTTCTGGATCGCATGAAGATTACTTATCAAATAACACAATTTATTGCTACGAATCGTCTTGGAAAGTTTCCTCGTGTAAAGACAGTATCCGAAAACAATTGGTGATCATGGGTCAGATATGCTAAACCAAACTAACTTTCCAGCAACATGGAATAAGATGCCCTTTTCAGAACGTGCTAATCAGAAAATAGTATAAACGCTGAAAAATGAGAATTAGCTTCAATTACAACCTCAATTGATAGATTGTAGTATCAGTCCAATAATAATAATAATAATAATCCTACATTGCGCGGTTTCAAGAAAAAGCCGAGATAAGGTGAGGGAAGAAGGAAGATAGCCAGGAAGTGAAGGCTGTGGGGAGACTACAAACCGCTGAGAAAAAAATGTGTTTGAGCTAGCTTCGATTCAGGAATTTTGCCCATTGGTGAAAAGAGAGTACGCTCTGCCCCTTCAGAACAAACCACTCCTCCGTCACCCCGTTCAAATCCCATTGCCATTGCACCAGCCAGAAGCGCCGCACCCCATGTTGTAAACATAGTTAGCCTGCTGGATTCCTCGGGTCTCCCACTTTCGCTAACGAACGAGGCCGAAAGCCATCGCGAGCTACTTTCTGCGACGCAATCGGACCCCCGACTCCGGACGCATCCCGAATCCTCGCAATCTGAGGCGATTGCAATCAGAGACAAGCCCGGCATCCGAAATTGGTTCGTCAACAGATTCCGTCGCTCATAGAGCAATCTCACCCGAGCCAATTTTGCGGGCTTCATGGTTCTCCCTCTCGCTACAGTTCCTCCGGTATCCGCACCCACTCCTGCCCTACCACCTCGAAACACTTCTACGACCCAGCAAGTTCACCAGCTCGATACTCGAAAAACCATCCCTCATACAATCTCCAAACCCCCATCCCTAATTCGCCAAACGAGCTCCTCCCGGGCTCCCACACTCAATAATCCTTCGACGAAACCCCGTCGACCGATGAACAATTCATCTACAAAACCCTCCCTCCCGAATGCGAGCTGAAGTAGGGTTCACACCATGGCTGCCACACGAGCAGTCTGTGCAGATGGATAGACGCTGACGATCCCATGCATGCTTGATTCCTTGCTTGCTCGCTTGATTCCTTGCTTGCTTGCTGTCTAAAGTTCATAAATCCTGGCTGACCTGGGCACTCTCATTCAACCAGCAGTCGCCGCTCGTTGCCGCCGTCTTCGCACTCCCGCTGCCGCGGCCGGGCGACAGCGGCAGAAAATGGATAGGTATCGAATCTTTGAAGCCGCCTTTACAATACACTTGCCGGAGTGTTCATGTGGATCGTTGAGGACGGCGATAGAGTAAAGTACATGATTTTAATAATACATTAAACTATTTTGTTTTTAAAAAAATGTTTTGAAATTTTATTATTTTCAGGATTATTTTGATTATTCTGTTGGTAAAAAATGATGATAAGTACTTTTAATATTTTTATAGAAAAATTGAATCAGTAGTTTTATGTGGTGGCTAAAATATTTGTTTAATTTATTGCTATCATTAGAGGTTAGTAACCAACATTCTGATTGGTTGATATTAGTACATCATCATAATTATTTAATAGAATTTTTTTTTGTTTTTGGAATTGATACTGCCATTATTGTAAATGCACTGGTTGGTTTGACAACGTTTTATAATTTACAATGCACCATTGCAGTTGATTAGCAAATCTCTACAACAATTTGTGGGATTTTTTTAATAATTGCTACAATTAAAAATTAATACATTTTTAAAAATGTTTTTATTATTATTATTATTATCTCCCAAATACCACATTCCAATTTTATTTCAACTCTAATATCTTTTTAAACTATTTTGTCAAAAATAACACATTGCAATGCAAAGACTTAAAATCAATCTTTTACTCTGATTAAATATTTCCTTCTAAATCCCAAACTTGCTCACCTTAAACATCTAATATTGTTATTATTATTATGATGCAAATTAGACTTCTAATCTACATTTTATCCATCTTACATTATAAATAAAGATATAACTAAGGATTTGGACCAAAATCACATATGCAAAAAATAGAAATAAATTAATTCTATTGACATTAAAAAAATATGATAATAATAAACAATTAAATGCTTTATTGGCTACATTTTATAATTAATGGACAAATTTTTTTAGTCCCGCATTTTTATTTCTTGATGATATATCTTTTTATAATGTAAAGAAAAAGATAATACATGAGTAGAAATCTACCATTTTATTGTACATAAATTCTATCAAAATCATTTTTTTTAACAACAATATCTAACATTCTATTCAAACCCACAAATGCTTTTTTGCTTTTGTTTTATATACAAGACTTATATCTTCTTTAAAAATTGACACTATATATTTTATTTTGTTTTAATTTTTGACACAAAAACGCATTTTTCTATGCATTGATAAATTGAAAGGTACAACTGACACCTAATATCTAATTGGATAAAGTTAAGAGTATTATGTGAAGTAGCTTTTGGTTCTTAGAATAATATATAAAACCCACATTATGGTACTCTAAAGTTCTATTTAATTAACATGTGTACATTAGAACCTAACATGTGTTTTGTCATTGAAGATTTGTCCCATCTCTTAAGTAGTGTAGTTTTAAGTTTAGAATGTTTTGTCTTTTTTTTTTTTATTATTATTATTAATAATTTCTAGCTGATTTTTCCATATTCCAGTAAACCTTCATAGATTAAAGTCTTAGTATGAAGGTCACTTTATACTTGTTTTTCAAAAAAATATTTATTTCTTTAAAATCAAATAGTCCATAGAAAACACTTCTTAATTAAGACCAGGACTTGGAAAAACATTTGAAGTGATGATGTATCTTGTGTGGAAAGATTGCTTGCTTCCATGTAAAGGCTTTCCATGGCCTCCATTTCTAGGAATGGGAAGTAAGTTTATCTATGATAGATGTGGCCAAATCCCATATTTTATAAACTTATTGATATTTTAAAATCTATGTAATATTGTTCTTAATTTTTGTAGGGTACAGAGGATACAATGTATGTCTATGTGTAGGCTAACTTGCCCTCTCTATGTGTTACCTGTTACTCTTTTATGCCATATAAGCTAGATGAACACAGCTTCTTTATGTGCCCAAGGTTGGGATTGGATATCATTACAATCCAACAAGAATTTATGCCCCAATATTATATTCCATTTTTTTACCATCACATTAGAAAACAATGAATTTATTTGCAATACTTTTTGTCCAAGTTTAGTAGAGTAGGTCATTAATTCTTCTCTTCTTGCCCATAAATATGAATCAAGATCAAAAATTAGTTTAGATATTGGACCAAATAATAAATCAATGCTACTTTTTACCTTTCTTCTTGGACTTGTTTTATGAGCCACTCTAACAATTTTCAAAAAATTAGTAATTTTTACCATGAAAAGGACTTGAATTTTATTTTGTATTCTTTTGCACTTTGTTGTTATGTACTATTTTAAAAATAAATAAACACTTGAATTATATATAAAAAATACATATATTATATTATGAGCTTTGGTTGTTTAATAATTAGTTAATGTCATTTCTAACATGTCCAACTTCTTTACAAGTTGCATTTGATCAATTTAGACAATATAATCTTTTCATTTTTATAACTTCAAATAGTGCTTGTATTATTAGGTTCATTGTTGTTGTTTATTACTTAAGTTGTTAGAGTCTTCGACAAGCAATAAATATGTGTTATCTTTTTGTTTTTCAAAGGTTGTGCATTACCATAGTGGATGTTTGATTTGCTTTTGCTTAAAAGTTCATCTAATTTTCCATGCTGTTTTATTATTATTATTATTATTATTATTATTATTTTAAATTGTACAAATTATTTTTTCATTAGTTTTATTGAACTGGAAGTACAAAGTATATTTGAAGAGAAATATACAGAAGAGATGTTAAATTACAGATGTTCATTCACTTAAAAATAAGGTACATGATTTAAAAAGTGACTATCTCTTAAATATTGCATCATCAGTTACAAATACTTGCAAAGAAATATATATATATATATATATATATATACACACTTGCAAATACTTATGTATACTTGTATATATACTTATATACTTGCATAGAAATATATATATATATATATATATATATATAAACACATACATACACACACAGATGTTTACGATTCTACAGATTTTAGATCTAAATGAAATAAAAATAAATCTGAGTTTTATTATGTAAATGTGTATGCACATGTAAAAGGTGATGCCAGAGTACAGTTTTAGCGACCTTTATTACATTACTGTATACTGCTTGCGATTTATGTCGAAATCATTAGTTTTACTGACTTATGATTAAATTTATTTTTTGAGCACTGAAATATGATCAAGGTTTCACAAAAATACTGGTTTTTAAGCACATATTAAATACATCTAACCAAATATTCATTATTTTATACCAAACATTGGAATGTTATTTTTAGAGCTTACAAATTTCTTTCGAAAGCAATCCATGATACTAAAACGAAAAAGTACTAGGGTTTTGAAATTGGTACTTTTGTCGAGCAGAGAATGGGACTCTCGGTCAAAACAAGCCTGTGGATTGTTACCCTCAATAGTACAAAAGAACATGGTTGATGGATGAATCCATCCAACGATTCAAATACGTTCATCCAAGAATTGGCAGAAGCAGGAACCCCACTTTGTTTAGGAGATAGGGAGGTGGAACAGCTTTCCATGATTCTCTGTGGGGCCCATGATTTGGTACTTTGACTAATGAATCCCATCGCATCCATCAGACTGGAACCTTCGCCCAGTTCCGTAGTCAACCAACATTCCAGCATCGAAGTCAATCAACATTCATTCATTCATCATTCGTTGAATTAACAAGTAGACCTCGTCCACCAGTCTGTGGGGGAGGATGACAACAAGTGATTATTCATTCGAATGAAGGATGAAATTGGACAGGGAGAGATGAACGCAGTTTCTATTATACATGGGGAGTGTTGGACATCAATGCTCAGTGCGTGCTGAGGCCCATTCTTCCCGCCACATTGTGCCTGCTTTTACCCAACAAACTGGTGTTGTCATCTCCTCTTTCTTTTCAACCACTTATGTCGTCAGGTTTAAATCTAGATTTCACTTATCTTGGGAGTTGAGCATTGCTGTGTCATTTTTAGTTTGATTGGCATTGGGTTGATTAGGATGTTAGGGAAGTGGTAAATAGCAACAAGGGAAAAAACTAAAAAAGCAAGCCACGACGGAGCTCAACTAGCGTTTTCATGGGTTCATAGGGAAGCACGTGTGGCATTCGAATTCGAAGTATCAGCCCCACAGTGCAGAAGGAACGTGGGGAGGGGGGGGGGGTGATACGGGGCCTCCTCCTAGATCACGGGTCGACTCGTCCACCGATGCGGAAGTGGGAGGGAGTAAGCGAGAGGTAGACTGAGCAGGCCCGGACCCGGGGTGGGACGATGCCCGCCCCCTCCCCTCTCCGCCCCTCCCCATGTTGTCCTCCCCGGCAAACCGTTCTTTCACAGCGTGACAACAACACCGAGGGTGGGGCCTCTCCCCCCCACGGGCGCGGTATTCCGCACGGTACGGGGGTGTGCTTGAGCGGGTTTGGAGTCGAGCGTTTGCTCGGGGGCTGTTGTGGCTACGATCTCGGTTTTGCGCATAGTTTCTTTCTCTTTTTTATCTTTCTCTTTCTATCTGTATCTGTCTATGTCGTCTCTCTTCTTCCATCTCGCTGCGCTTGAGAACTGAGTGAGTGAGGCGTTTGTTGCGTGGCGCTCTTATTCCATTTGTAATTGCCGTGCCATCGCCAGGCGCCCGCCTCTCCTAGTCCTCCGCCCTGTCGTGGACTCGAGGCTCTCTGGACCATTCGCAATTGCTCGAGAGTGTGTGAAAAAACGTGGTGTGGATCCGCGTCCATCGAATACTCTGCTAAATGATTTCCCTTGTTGTCGGTCCGCAGTGTTAGACTTTATACCGATTCGGGGCCGCGAAGCGAGTGAATGTGTAGTGAATTTAGCGTCTCGGGAATGTCGTAGGACTCTTGCTTGGGTGATGAACATGAAGGGAGGAACGAGTTCTGCTCTTTTTTTTTTTTTTTTTTTTTTTTTGCGGATTGGGTTGTGATGGTGTAGTGAGAAGCAATAGTTAAGGTTCGGGGAGTGGTTTAGATGAGGTATTTAGCTCGCCACAATTCTGATTCGGAAATTTGCGCCGCATTGTCTTACATTGAGGAATTTGGAGGTTCTAATGAGTGTGTTTGATTTCGGGATTTTAGAAGTCTAGGAAAATGCAAGCATGAGGGAGGAAGTGCTGAAAAGATCATGAGCGATTTTTAGGGCTCGAGGTGGAATGTGGGAATCCTCAGTTGCGACGGGCAGGTTTGAGGGGAGGAGATGCCCTGTTGGTGAAACTAGATGCTAGGCTGGGCAAAATTGTCGCTCAGTGGTGAAACTATCTCAAAGTACAGACAATCAACTGTACAGAATGGATTTCCATGTGTTCCTTGTGCGGCTGGGTCCCAAAGGACGCGGAGGCAATCGGCTGTTGCGAATACACGATCATGGCATTTCTCTGGTGCCTTTACTTGCCAGCAATCCTGTGGCAGCTGAATACAGCTTCGAGCACATTGCTAAAGTCACTGCCTCTAGTGATGATCCGACAGAGCTCTCGATGGAAATTCTAGACACGGCGAAGCAAAGCTATGGGTATGAATCGGTCCGCTTGCATTCCGACTCTAGATCTGCTCTTCTTACTGTCCTATTCAATCGGATCGACGAAGTCAATGGGATTGGTAAGCGTCTCTTCTCTGAGCACAGCAGTCATGCTCCTTCGGTAGCAATTTGTTAAGTAACCAGGATCATTGATGACCTATTTCCCTCAGTTTTCCTCCAAGATACTTCTCAATGAATACCCCTCACTATCAATATCCTGTAGCCTTCTTCAGTGAAGACATCAAAGAGAGTGACTTCTGCAGATACCCCTGGTACAACTGTTTGAAATTCCCCTCTTATTATCCTTTTATCAGTCTTTGATGTGGCCTTACTTTGTTTTGAAGGTGAGTGCTGTAGACCTGACCTATATATGCATTCATTTCATCCTCCAAAACGTCATTTCCCTCCGTTTCTTCTGCAATTAACGTCAAATTATTTCTTAGATTTTTGGGTCAGTTTTTATGGAAATTATTGGTTGTACAGACTAATGATGCGCATCTCAGAGTCATGATTGTACAAATTTCCTTAATCTGTGCAATGACTGTATGATACTGATCAGCTCTGGAGGTTCCAGTATTACCTCTTGCTCTGACACATCTCAGAAAAAAAGTGAGAAGAAAACTAGTCTTCCTAGAATAAATTGTAGGGCCAATCGCAATTCAAGACTTTATACTGGGCGTGTTTTTGGATCTTTCGATGTACATTTATTCAAAGTTGATAGCAATGGAGGTCCTTCATGTGAACATTCATTCTTTGTGGGTTGCTTTGGAGCTCACATGACTTTTAATCTCAGATATTTGTTTAGGCTTTCTTGAAAATAATTAGTGAAGATTCTGCCTTAAATAACTATTTTTTAGGGCCACCGCTGGTATGTTCAGTGTACATTTTTCTTAAGCTGACGAAGCTGGGTGGTATAAAGTCCTCTATGCACACAACTTCCTCTGGCTTTGAATTATGAATCTTATGGTCGTTGAAACATTTTCACTAGCGACTTTTGTGACACGTTTACTAACAATCAAAAGCAGCAGTTCTGAAACCACGTACTTTAGATTAACACCTGGACATTGTTGGCTATTATGGTCGAAATATTTGTATACCTCTGATAGTTAATTAGTGAAAAGTATCAAATGTGCTGTTTCATAATTATACTTTTCTTAGTCCGTAGTAAATCCTCTTTAAAGGTATGTTCTAATATGCTTTATTTTTAGTTGTATTCAATCTTACGATGATATCGTCTATTTGAAATACTTTCGCATACGTTTGTGCTAACTGTTGCTGTATTTTTTTTTTTTTTTTTTTTTTTTTTTTGTGTGTGTGTGTGTTTTGAACCTTTATTTACTACTCTTTCAGGTACTGATTTTACTCTTAAGAAACACAGTAATCAGAGAGGTGGCCTAGTTGACACAGTTTTACGTGTTCGGAGTGCCTCCCTAACGAAGATGGTCAATATTGGCAACCGACAAGAGAGACGCCTGGTAAGCTTTTATTCTAGTACTCCATGGATGGTTATGTTTTATCGGCCGAGCGCGGTCTTTATCAGAGCACAATTGATGTGGACTGGAATTCCTATTCTAGTTCTGGCTCATGTATTTCATTCTAATTGTCAATTTTAATATTATTTAGATAGCATGATCTCAACTTATTTGTATACCACTGCAGATGAAAGGGGCCAAAAGAGTGAACTTCAGAGATATCGTTAAGCTGGAAACTCTGATTGACGATGAACACATTGTGTTGGTGTACCTTGCCTCCCGTGTCATGCGGCTTTCTCTCAAGGATTCCTTGCCCTTTTTACTTGCTGTTCAACGTAATATGAAGGTGGGTAGGCACATCAGCACGTTCTCAACTTTGTGAATAGTGATCTAGTTGCACGCTACGTGCAAAGTCTCCTACAAGTATCGGTTATTTGCGATATTTTGTCTGATGCTCATCCTGGGTGGTTGCAGTCAAATTTAAAATTGGATGTTGAGATCCAGAAGATACCGAGTTCTGCAATGATTGAAAATGTTGCGTCATACCTTAAAAAAGGGGTAAGTTGAGTGGATTATTCAAGCGCAAGTCTTGATTCGTATTGTTGTGGAGTGTGTTCTTTCAATACCTGTAATATTTGGCTGCTTATCGTATGGTACCTAAAGTAGACAAACACAACCTATAAATCAGGCAGACTAAAGTTTAATCCTCTTGCAGAAAAACTCATCCATCATTTATAAGTTTGAAGTCAAAAAGCGACAGGAGCTAACAAAACAGGAGCGGCAGAGAGTGCTTTGTATTACTAAGGATTTTTTTATTGAAAAGTGGGGGGACCATGTTATAGGCATACACAGGTAATTACTATCTTTTAGATGAGCTGCACTGTTCAAGTGTGTATGCTTTCTCTCTGCAGCTTTCTGAATGATGCGTTTGATTACTGAAATTGTTTGGTGTATACATGAAAGAATCGGCCTTCTACTTTTAATGATATTTAGTATGCTCCTCGAAGTGCAAGCATTCTGAATATGTTGTCATTACGTCTGCACACGGTGGTGTCGTCTTGAGGTGTACATTTTGCCAAGCTTTCACTATGAGCCTCTGATTAGTGGTAGTCTTGTATGTATTCTTGTGCCTTGCAAGTCATGAATGTTATTACTGTATGACTTATCCTCGAATGAAATATCTTTCCAGAACTTAGGCTGATATCATCTCTCTTGCAGTTTAAAGGATATACTAGGCCTAATTGTCAGCGAGAAAGACGATCGAGAAGTGACCGTGGAGTTTAGGTCTTGGAGGCCTACCCAGTACTTTCTTGATAATAGAGACGACTTTTTGGCCAGTATAGCTGACTTGATGGGTATGGGAAAGGGTACTGAGTTTTGCATCCGGCTTGAGCCATATTTTCCCCATGTTCTTCCCGATAAGATACCTGCATTTCATCAGGTATCATCCTTGATCATTTCATTTTGTTGTGATTCTGTTTATAAAAAATAAAAAATTGGCAATTAAACCTAATATTATTTTATAATAATAAAAATTTCAAAAACTGATTTGCACCATTGTTATGATCAGAATGAATGCGAGGCATACTTCCTGAACCGTTTTATTGGAACCTTCAACTCCATTCGCGACCCTACGTCATTGCATCTTGCGTTGAAAGAATATGCCTGCAATATCCATGTGAGCTCTCTCTCTCTCTCTCTATTTTAGTGAAGCTCTTCACAAGTTGTGTCTTTGTTTAGCAATATAAATGCTGTTAATTGAATGTTTACATGTATATTCAAAGGACTGTATCATGGATGATGCAGGTAGGAGATTCACTATGTAGTGATTTTAAAGTTCTTCAAGCTGTTACGGACACCTTGAAAGACTGTGTAGGTGAGCAGAGTTGGAAGTAATTGCATGACGTGTCTTGAGCTTTTTCTAAGAAACATAAAATTACACTTGATATAAGTTAAGTGTTTGCTTGGCAAGGCGTGATTTCTTTGGAAATGTTGCCATGATGAAGTATCACTAGACGTTTTCTTAAAGACGTGGGAAAAGATAGAGTGGACATTCAAGGCTGCATGCTTCTTTTCGTTTATGGAGAATTTGAAGGAATTTTTTGTGACATGGATTTTAGGATAATTTTAAACAATCAGTGAACAGTTTTGAGTATTGTAATTGGTGAATCTTCTTAGAAGTTTTCTCTTCAGACAAATATCTTCGGTGGAGTGATACACATGTGCTCATTGGAGATTTATTTGCGTTTGAATCAGGAGGTTTCGGTCAAGATTACATACTCGCTACCACTTGTTGCCTTGTCCTTCAGAGACTTCTGGCTTCTCGACCATGTTTTGAGTCCGTCAAAAGCATGCCTGAAGTTGTTGCTGTATTATTCCAGGTTCTCTTTCCTATTTGGTGGTCATTTCACATGTCTGACCCTTTTAATTCGTAGTTGTTAATGACTCACTACGAGGCCTGTGCCCTGTGAGACAGGTCGGTCCCGTATATTTTCTTTTTGGCAAGAGAGGTTGTTTGTATGAGTTTCACTTCAGTGTCTATTTGAAACTGGATTTTCTTAGGTTAATTATTTTAAGCCACACATGGTTAGTGATTTTGGGTGCCTCATCGTAGCATTTATTAATCTTTGACATTTTTATGCACTGTCGGTTTTGTCACAGTGCATGCGATCAGAAAACAGTGTGCTTTCCTATCTTGCTATAGTAGCTGTACGATCAGCTATTAAATTTGCTGCAGATCTCAGCGTTGTAGAGATTGGCTATGCCTCAAAGGTGAAATATTCGAATTCAAGTTTCATTTTCTGTTATTCATATACTTTCTTCAAATTTTGAATTGTGAGTTCCTTATATACTCACCCTGCCTGATTTTTTATCTCATCTGTTTTGTTGCACTTATTATTTTGCAGCAAGAGTTTGCGAATAGGATTGCAATCTTAAGTTCTGATCATCTTCAGCAGTTGGTGAAACTACTGCAGTTATACGCTCTTGAAAAGAACAGTGCTTTGAATGTACAAACCACTCTCCATATTCCAAACTATCTGTATCTTATTTGCATCAATTCTCTTTTCAGAAACCTTTAAATCGGCCTTGTTAACTGTTTACTTGATTTTTAAGCGTTGGCTCCCATCGTTCTTGAAAAGAACTAGAAACCTTGACTTTTGCATGTTGTAGAAATTTTGAAGCACTGCTAGAATTAGAGGAAAGTTCAGCTCATCTCTCACTACGATTGCGGCCTGAGTTTGTACGTTGATCGTCATGCTTCAAAATCATGCAGATTGTGGGGCTTTTGGACATCTTGACATTGGCTCTCACTTCACAACCTATGGAAATTGAAACAGGGCGGACGTGGATTAAGGTGATGTATGGTTCCCATCAACTTGAGGATGCGTTAATTAGTTCGCCTGTATCAGTATTAATTCTTTTGGATTGAAGAAGTCGTTTTGCCTCACTTTCTATCCCGAAATGTTTCGACAGGCATATGAGGCGTCAATTGTGGCTGCAGCAGGTGTATTGTGTGCAATTTCCAGGTCTTCGAGTTTTGTCGTTTTCTACAGGTGCAATTCTACAAATTGACAAATGAGTGCTTTGGAGGCTTATGCCAATGAACAATCGAACAAAAAGGGCACTATATGTGCACAAAAGTTTCTTGAAATGTAGTTAGTGTGGGGATCACTCACGTGTTCACGCGACCGTTTTTATGTTATGTTTTGTTTTGTTTTTGTTTTTGTTTTTGTTTGTTTGTTTGTTTGTTTGTTTGTTTGTTTTGTTTTGTTTTGTTTTGTTTTGTTTTGTTTTGTTTTATTTTATTTTATTTTATTTTTTTGTTTTTGTTTTGTTTTTTGTTTTTTTTTTTTAGTTTTTCTTTTCTCTTATTGCATTTCGTCAGGTTTTTTGAGATGAGCATCTTGCTCATCTATCTGGCTATGCAGACATAAATACACGCACACACACACACTAACGTGGAGTTTGCACATTGTGGCAGGAATGCAGTGTTGTTAAAAGCACTCCTCACGAAGTCCTCGCAGCCAGTGTCCAGACATCTGCAGGTCTGCTCAGTTTTTCGAGCAGCACACTACGAACTTTTTTTTTTTTTTTTTTTTTTTTTTTTTTTTTTTTTCTTCCTGATGCGTTGTTTTTAGATGTTGCTTTTCGGTGCGAAAATGCGTTTACATTGTTGATTTGTGTTTTGCAGAAATACTGCCTTGGTCGGTGTGTGATCCTCACGCACTTGAAGACTGCACTTTTCTCCAAACAGGAGCGTGTTCGGCTTTTGAGTGGACACCTGGTTTTCCTTTTGATGGAGGGGAACCGTGATGCAAGAAAAGTCTTGGATGTCCTTCTTCCCAAGGTTGTCTTGTTTTCTTTCAAGGATTTATGCAGTTTTATATATGCTGCTGCCTTGTTTATTTGTCTCCTTGCCTGCGAGTATCGCGAGCTCGTTATCTCATGTTTGATAGTAGCCGTAGATGATGTAATTTGGAGCTTCTGGTGTATATGCTTGAATATACTTGTGAATTTGCTATCGGTTTTGTCATGGCAGGGTGTTATGCAGCTGTATGCCACTAAAATAGAAAATTCGAAGCTGGTTATAAAGGTATGAGAAACAGAATTCTTGAAACATACATGCTGGTCGAACGTTGTGGCTCACGTGTGGATGCATTTTTTAATGTCGACTATCTGACAAAATTTAACGAAATAGATAGCACTTGGTTGATTCTCTCACAAGTATTCCGTATTAAACATGTGATGTCTTCAGGATAAGACAAGTGGGAATTTTTCACCGTGGATGGAGACTTTAGAAGTACTGCGAAGTCAAACACTTGAAACACCAGTATTAGTTTGGAATGATCTAAAGCGTCTCGAACTCAGAAAGGTGGAGTATAGTTGACAGAACTTACTTTTATACTGCTCTGAATTTTCATCTATTTAGAAGTTGAATTGTATGTTTGTCACTAAAAAAATTGTTAGATTCTTGAGCAAGTGAAAATACTTCTTGTTTTCTTGAAGGTAGTGATGCTTGAATGGTATTTTGAAATTAATTTTGAAGTCGCTCATTTCATCTGGATCTGCTATTCTTGGCATGTATTTTGCAGTTTCTTCAAGATGAGGTAGATGGATTTTACGAAGCGTACGAAAGTGATCACAAAATCTTTTACAATACTGCAGATGTTCAACTTGTTTACTCTACAGCTAGTGAGCGTGAAGGCTCTGTGATTGGTGGTGTCCACCTGGAACTTCTTGTGGATCTTCACCCTGCTGCTGATTCTGCCAATTACCCTTTTTGGAAGGTACGTGACCATAATAAAGCATTAAGGTCATTGATCATCTGCTATTTTTGACAAAGAAAACTCAATTATTCTTGTGTTTGTAAAATACACTGTTCATATTTTGGCTGTATTCTTTTACTCGTTTTTGTGTCGGGGATGTTTACAATTTAATTTACTACGAAAATGCAGTTGTAATTATTATCATGATGTTAAAGCTAGCAGCCACTTAAATTTAGTAATAAGCAATAACGCTCTAACTTTTTGCTGGTAATGTTTGTACAGCTACATCAGCCACTGGCTATATTTCAATCAGTATTTCAGGCTATGGTACTTGGTTTCACTCCCCTTTTTGGTCACAACAACTTACCGGAGCTTGATCTACGACTGGCTGTCCATGTACTTACCTGGATTTATGAACGACATGCTGATGAAGTTGCCTTTTGTCTTGAAACATTGAATGTTGTCGAGGTACTTCTCTCAATCAGTTCTTTAAAAATTTGATGATGGTAGCGACTGCATATGTAATTGTGAATACATTCTATTTGTTAGGTCGCTGCGGCGCGTAAATGCCTTCCAATTTATTTACAATGAGTTCCTGAAATGGTTTGCTGCAGACTGCTGTCGGAATGCTCCGTGAGGTGGTGGAGAGTGAACATCAGGTGTTTATTTTCAAGCTGGTGGTGTTTTTACTAGTCACCGTGGAGAAGGGAGGACGGGATAATGTTCTTCGCTTCATCCGCAGTGGAGGGGCAACTGTTGTAGTTCCCCTCATCGTGTTATCATTGGCCAAGGTGAGTTTCCCGATGTATTCTTTCAGGTGGTTCTGTAGCCTTCATTATTATTATAATTGAATAGATCGAGGGACAGGTAGAAAGTGTGAAATCGTGGATCCAATATTGCATAAGTGTTACAACAGATGTATTCAATCAATGTAATATTGAGTGTTCTAACTACGGATCCCGACGTTGGCAGTGCTGTAATGATAAGCATAAATTTGAATGCGATGCATGGTCTGCGCAAGATGTTCTGTCTCGAGGTGCTGTCGAAACGCTGCGTTACGTGGGCGCTGACGGCGAGGTGAGACTCGTCAGGATTCCCTCTGGGAGAGCTCATGAGTTGTTGGAAAGAGCATCACAAGATGGCAGCATGGAAGCAAAGGAAGCTATTAAATGGCAGGATGAGAAGGTTCCAGAAAAAATTCAATTGGGTTTAGCACTGGACTTGTTGGAAGCCCTCTTAAGGTAATTTCTATATTTTGCTAGTCGTAGTCTCGTATGTTAAGTCTGTACTCTAGTAGGAGTTACAACTGGCGGCTGAAGCGTCTCTTGAAGACTATGCATTACAAGTTGATATTATTTGTTTACTAAGCGGTTGGTTAGTTGATTTTTTGTCCTTCGCTGACATTGTCATGACATCTGTGTACAGGACATCTGGTAGTGATAGTACCATTGAGCATTTCCCACCCTCAGCTGCATCTTTCAATTTTTCTAGAGAGGAGATCTTTTGCCATTTGGTGCAATCCCTTTTGCTTGCGAAAAGTCCGATATTCAACAGGTGAATCTCTGAACACTTATTGCTTAGAACCTATTGGACATTATTTTGCAGTTTCAGTACCATCGCATATAATAATTTGCAATGTGCATTTCTTATTTCGATGTTCCCATTATTCCGTTGTGCACGATTCAGGGCCTTTATTTGAAGCAATTATAATTTTTATACAGTCACTTGTGAATTTCTTTATTTAAATCCGATGTTTTATGCGTACTGCATTAAACTATGCGTTGTTGAGGTGTTTCAACAGTGCAGAATCAATACTTGTATGCTTGTGATGCTTGTTAAACTTGTCGAATTGGGTGCCCTACTTAGTACTAGTAATTAGCTTTTCTTTAGTGCTTTGTCCTATATAAACAACCAAATATTTCCCAGTTGTTTCTATTTAAGCACCACTTTATTGTTGCAGGATTCTAGAGGTTGTGACCACATTGGTGCATTCCAACAAAACTGCAATGTCTCACCTTTACAAACTTGGTGCTTTTGAAATTCTCCTCTGGAAACTTCTTTCTGGTGATATTGTTGAATGGGACAAAACAAGGATTGCCAAGTTCCTTTCTCAATGCCATTTACTTCAGGTATCTTTTCTCCCAGAGCTCACCCCATGTTTTTCTGATGACGTTTCTAAGCCTACGAATCATGAAATATTAATAGATTGATTTCCTCTGCATTTGTTTTCAACATGTGTTGATGGCCGTCATTTGGAAACAGGATCTTTCGGAATCTCCTAGCCGTAAAAGCGGTGAAAGAGAACACGGGACTTGGCGAGACAGTGTCTTACACTTGTACTTACCTGAAGGCTTGATACTGAAGCTTATGTCTGAGGTGTGTGAAGCATCTCTTTGACTGGACATGGGGCTGAACAGATTTCGATATTTAGTTTTGGACAAATTACAGAAGTGATCAGAGGGTCAGTTGTGTACTCGTGCTTGTGGATTACGTTGTGCTGATAACTGCGATATGGTGACAACAGGGACCAGAATCCTTTTCAGCGTATCTTGATTCAGAGCAGAATGGGCCCGAGATAGTATGGAACTTGGAGATGAGACAGCGCTTGCTAGATCACCTCACTTCCGAGCTGGAGTCTTATGTCAAATTCCGTGCAACGGATCCTTTGGCATTATACATTCATGTCCCGAAAGCTCCATTATCATATCCAGAGTTGGAAGGTTGGCTTTTATCTCTTTCCCACATTTATCCAACCTACACCATCAATTTACATTGTTATTTTATTTTATTTTAAAAAATTCTATCGATTGTGAAAACGTAATGCGGATTTTATCTATGTAGATGCCAATATGCACTTTGCTCGATTGTGTGCGCAGATTCGGTCTTCTCAGCGCCTTTCTACATTCAGAATTTGCTTGATAACGAGAGATCTCCAAACTACCAAGTTAATGATCCGAATGGCTTTCTTAATAGTCTCATGCAGGTAAGAAGACTTTGTCATGTCATGTTCGCTGACATTGGCCTAAGACTTTTGCCAGTAAATATTCTTGAGAACCTGGTATTTGCACGTGATTGATTAAGATGTGCGAATGATGTAAATAGAACTCCACTTTTATCTTCAATTGTAGGATTTAAGGAGGTCAACGAAGATGTTGGCCGATGTTGTCACGGAGACATCTGCAGTTCGTAAGGAGTTGACGCGTACCCATCTATTGATTCATGCACTTGTAAGTGGTTCTTGGTTTCTAACCTTAAGGAGTTTTGGAGGTTTATAGTTTAAGCACCGCCTTTATTTGGCCAGTTAGTGGACTGTAGTTGCATTTTGTGACTTTGCTCAGCTTAAGCATGACAGTATTTTTATATTTTTTTATTGTCACTTCTTTGACTATGATAAAACTGAAACAACACTGGCGCAGGTCACATGTTTCTGATGGTTATGTGTTGACGTAATGCGGTCTATTCAATAATAATTTTGGTTTCATTCTGTTAACCTTCACTGTTTTCTCCTTGTTTTCTTAGGCACATCTTGTTGATCGTTTCCCTGAGCTGGTGTTACCGGGTGACATTGAATCCGTTCTTGTTACACTAGCCACGCCCTCCCTTAGGACTTGCCTGGCAGAGAAGGACGAAGCGCCCCTGGTTTCCACTGAGGTTTTGCAGCACTGTGTTCGTGTGCTGCGGAGATACTGCTCTGCAGTTACGAGGTAGACAAGTGTCCTTCGTTTGCAATCATTTCTCTCATTCAACTGAGTAAACAACCGCTATGTCTGGCTTGAGTTATATTAAGCCGATTCTCAAGTAAATTTCTTTGTTTTGATGTAGAGATGATGAAATACCGCAAGCATCTATCAATTTTGCGTTAAGCGTTTTATCACTTGGAACGAGGTTAAACCTTGATGGATCCTTTCCGGAACCAAGCAGAAATGCAAGTCTGGACTTGGCTGTTACAGGAGCCTTTTTCATTCTCGAGATAGCTTCTTCTTCCAGGTTAGATTTTCTTCCTGGACTATTTCTTGTGTCTAGCGTCATGGTCATTGTACTAATATAGATTTTGTTGCTCCTTTTTGTTTCACAAGTTGTGGTTGGCTTTGAATTTGATTGAAGCAGAGTCCCATTGTTTTTGGAGCTTGTCGTGTTGCTCATGTTTAATTTAAGAACTTATAACTTTGAGACCTTCCTTGAAGCGTTAAGAAAATAAATAGATTGACCCCATGGTCGATCATTGTTCTCTTTATTATTTGTCGTTGATCTATTGTTTTGGGTTCTTCAAATACTCCAGGGTTGGAAGACTCTGCCTTCGCGAGGACAATAGATGGCAGGAGGGATTCCTCTTGGCTCTTTGCTCAGCTGCTGGAGATGCCTTGGCTAACCCTCCTCGTGGTCCTGCACCAAAATCATTTGCATCATTGAGTTGTTTGAAGAACTTTGCCGGTGATGAGGACTTGTATGAGCTTGTTCTTAAGCAGGTTCGCATGTGAAACTTCAGAGTGCATCTTATGCAGAGTTGAACATCTTGTGTCCTCTACTGTCGTAGAAATTTCTTTGTTTACTCAGACCTGTAGAGCTGCTCCAGCGTGTAATTGTTCATCGACTAAAATAACCGGGCATTTTCATGCTAACTTTTGCAGGGTCTGTATCTACCGCTATTGTTATTAGCTATCCCACCTGCTGAAACCGCTCTTAAAGCTAGAGACACCAAGTCCGCTCTCCTTTATTCAGCTGCCGATGTCTTGGGGACTTTAATTCGTATCCTAAAACAGACAGGGGGAGCTCGCCCCAATCCCATCCAGCAACAACAACGGTCACTTATGACCCATCTCATTCCAGGTCCATTGCTTGCATGCCTAGAGCATACCGAGGGACCCGACAAGTTTATGACGATGGCTGAGACTGACTTAGAGCAACCGATGATTATCTGGACATCAAAAGTTAGGGAAGAGCTTCATGATCGTGTAATGGATCGTCTGCAGCAGCATCATATATTATTGGCTACAGGGAGTGGTGATGCTGGTAATGAGCTAGAATGGATACAGTCATTTCGATACGAGTGTCTCAAGGATGAGATAAGTGTCGGTGGGGTGTTCGTGAAAGGTCTTGCATCTGGTCAGTGGAAGACCTTTGGTTTGCCAGCAGGGCACGACTTCCTTGATGATGTACTAGATTATCTGGATACAAACCAATACGTACTTGGTGCAGAATCACACTCGGGCCTAAGGATCAGTGAATATGACAAGGTTACGCTCGATGAATATCTAACAGTTCTGGCTTCACTTAAAGAGACTCTAAAATATGCTGTAAAAGTGGGCAGGGCAGAACTAATTGCACGATGCCGTCTACCCTTGCTCACAACAATTGCAATCAAAGGACACAGCTTGTGGCATATCCAGATTGAAATTGCTAGTATTGTTAAAGTTCTGGCAGAGGATGACTCTGGAAGAGAAGCTGTACTTCAATCGAAGTTGATGGCATCACTGGCAGTCAAGCTTTGGGAGTGTGCAGCCAATCCTGGTGACGACGGAATGGAAGAGCTACTCATGGTCATTCTTCAAGCTCTTCGTACTCTCAGTGAAGGGCTTCCTGCTACAGTATTGGCTACTAATCAATTTGCATCTTCTGGAGTTCTTCTACCGCTCTTGGCGATATTTTGTGACGTTAAGCTACCAAATTTGGAGGATTTCAACTACACTGGTGGCTCTGGCTCAATGTATCTTTCAGAAGCAGGGCGCATTGTAGCTGCGCAAACACTTGGACAGCTCCTTTTAGCTGGCAGTGGTGTTAGTCGTCGTTCTAAACTTCTCCAGGATCTATCTCAGCGCAAGTCTTTGGTTAGTAAGAGCACAAACAGTTCAGCACATGGGTCTGCCAATGGTCACTACAATAATGAGGAAGGTGTAGGCGAAGCCACTGATATGTACGAGTTGATCAACATTATTGAATCAAGTAAAAAGGACAGCAAAGGGGTACGACCAATTGTCATCCAGACGTTTCTGCTGCTGCTTCCTCTGGACCTTCTATCGACTTTAGCGAGGGATCCAGTAGAAGCCTGCCGGAAGTTTGATGGTGCCTCTCAGACTCCACGTCTCGTGTGGGATGAGGGGAAACGGGTACTCGTGAAGGAAACACTCAGTAAGGAGGCACGCAAGTTGCAAGGTGCTTTGCAACAACAGGATTTGTCTCATCTGCCAACCTGGTCTATGGAAGAAGGGCAGGCAGTTTTTGTTCAGTGGATACTGATCACTATTTTGTATGGGGATACAAAGGCAATATACCGCGATAGCGAACAGGTTGGTTATGCCCGCGAAATGTATCTGGGTGGGTTTTTTGTGGATCAGTTTTTGAGGGACCCAGGGTTTGACTTCGGTAACATTCTTGAGGCGCGATTTCTTTGTGAAGTTCGAAAGGCTGTCATCATTGGAGCGTACGCCGACGTTTTCAATTTTGATGATCGAAGGCGATTACTACTCACTCTTCTACTTCTTTTCAAAGCTCGGCCTTATCTCCTAACTGGCCAGTCGAACATTGACATCTTCCTCCCTGTTTATGACTTTATGAGCAACCCAAACGAGCGTCGAGCACTTGCTCAACCTGCTATGTGCTTGATTCATGCTATTTCCTATGATTCAGATATAGCCGATTGTATCGTCTCTGAAGAGTTGGTTGAGAATCTGGTTTCTCTTTTGCAACTGAGGGTTCCGAAATCCGCAGCTGGTCATGCTGGAACTGATCCTCGAATATGCAGCCTCATGTTACTACTACGGTTGATGAGGCTTAGTAGTGCTACTGTGGACGTTGCGTTAAGGCTGGGAACTGTTCCTAAAATGGCAGACTTCATCATAGATACCGAAGGTTCAGATGGGGTTACACAACGTGCAATTGAGTGTTTGGCGATGATGTGTGCAGACAAGCGCAAGGGTTCTGAAGTAAACAGGTTGCTAGATAAATTAGTACCTGAAAATGCTAAGAATTATGGTGCATGGATCACACCTACTAGCCATATTAGAGATGAGGTAGTTGATTCCGAGACAGTGAAGCATTTTTTAAAACACAAGTATCCTTGTGATTGGTGGACTCAAGATTCTTTAGAAGGAATAAACGACGAAGATTCCGGATTGGGACCAGTCTCAGTAGTCAATGCTTCTGTGTCCTTCCCTAAGGCGACGATGGTAGATTTTAACGACGAAGCAGATGGAGTTTTCAAACGTAGTGTTGCAATTGGAGCTGAAGTGGATACCAAAGACGTACATATTGTAGGGAAACGACCTGGTAGTGTAATTTTGGACTTCGAGGTGTATTTTCGACGGCTCGGCTCTGAATTCAGCAAGAGAGGCCAACCTCGGAGGCCTGATGTTGATGCTCGGGTGTTCAAAGAGAAGCTCGAATACGATACCACCACCTTTTTTGGTGGTCGATACTTCGGACGCATGGGCCGTCCTAATGTTCTGGCAGTTACTGTGAGGCATCTCAATCACACTGGGGATGCTGTGGATGATGCTTTTGATAAAGATGTATTTGGTCGTTTTGAAGACACAAGTAATGAAAGGGATAGAATATCCAAGCACACACTCCAAGATTTGGATAGAGATGATGATCATCAGACCATCTTCGAGCACCAACCCACTGATCTGGACGCGGATGAAGTCGAGGTTGAAGTTTTGAAACGGAACCAGAAAATGTCAGGTCTAGGCTTGTTTGCAGATGAGCCTGGCTTTCGCGCTTCAGAACTTAGAAACTCTGTGGAGTCTCCCTCAATGTCGCCTACTTCCGTGCTTACTCTATCTTTGGATGATACCAAGGAGTCTAGTTCTAGTGGTACTCCATCGACAAGGTTTGCACAATCTAGTCCCTCGGGTTCTTCTAGTGCCAATTCTGCTTCGAAATCTCCTCCATCATCTATTCCTGGTCTAACAGCCAGACCATCTTTCAACTTCACCTCGAGAATGGATTCCCTTCCACCTACATCACCCTCTGTTTCTATCCCTCAGGGAGCGTCTCGCATGTCTCTTCCACGCACTACCAGTATGTCTTTCAACAGGACTGCGGTACCAGGTCTCATCCGACCTCCCTCTCCTGGAAGGATCCCTTCAATGGGTCAACTCCCTCCGTCACCTTCCGCCCGTTCCCCCTCTTTGACGAATAGGTCGCAGTCTCTATCTAGCCCAACTTTTCAGGCTTCACTTTCGCCATCTTCAACGAAGGAATCTCCAGGGGCAGCATCTCCTGTGACGAGGCCTCCGACGCAGTCCCATGCACCAGTTTCAATTCGATCATCGCCAGATAGATCTGTGTCTCCAATTGCAGCTGCTGCATCAGTTCCAAGTCGATCACCACCGGAGAGGCCTGCACTTCCTGTAGCAGCAGCTAGTGCACCAGTTTCAACTCAATCAGCACCAGAGAGATTCACACTACCAGTAGCAGCTGCTGTACCAGTTCCAATTCGATCACCACCGGAGAGACCTGCTCTTCCAATAGCAGCAGCTGGTGCACTGCTTCCAACTCAATCATCACCTGGTAGGTTTGCACTTCCGGAAGCAACTGTTGCACCAGTTCTAACTCAATTATCACCAGAGAGATTCGCACTTCCAGTAGCAGCTAGTGCACCAGTTCCAATTCGATCATCGTCAGAGAGATATGTGCCTCCAGCAGCGTCTTCTACTTCGGTTCCTCGCTCTGTTTCAATGAGAGAATCTCAGCCAATACCCGTTGGTGAGTATCCTCAACCGATACTGACTTTGCAGATAAGAGCGTGTTAGAACCGCTGATTGGAAACCGAGGTGATTATGGCATCGATTTGAATAGTTGAATAAGCGTTCTGGAACTTGATACTTGTTAGAATGTGAACGACCTATATAACTTCAGTGTAAGACTCAATTGTTGTGCAGTGGTGGTGTGATGTCTTGCAGATCCGGCTCTTCTTTCAAAGTTCAACAGGCATATAACGGTGAAGTTCGAGGATGGAAGGTTGGAGGAATTATTTTTGTATCTTTACTTTTAATGGAAAATCCAACAGATCTTTGTGGTGCTGAGCCTAATTAGAATAAAATGCAGGAGACTGTATGGTGTTATTTTAGCTCAATACTTTATGGCTGTTATTTCGTCGAATTTTGACTAGACAGACTGTATTTTGATACTCACCTGCCCGTAATTCGGATTTTGCGTGTGCTGCTCATTAAGGATACTCGCTGTTTATTCTGTCAACAGAACGGTCTCTTTGGGTGTAGCGCTAGCGCTGGTGTTAGAAGGAGCTAATCTAACAACCACAAAAAGAGCCGTGGCTATCATTCAATTCTATAATGCATTTGAAGAGGGTGCGTTTTTGTACGTTTGCTTCCGATGTTCTGTTTCGCCATGATTTCTATTTTTGTTCCACCCTTTACTCTCCTGTCATCTAATTTTATCCTTTTTCCGCAGAACAAGAAGAGTTGGGGAGAATGATAGAAAAATTTCCAAAACTGGTGCAGAAGTTTGCTTTACAACCACACCTCTGTTATGACCTGATGTGTGTTTGGGAAGAAAACTGTTTGGATCTGTTGCTGAATGACGAATTGGTAGGTGGCTTTATTCTTGTCTTCTTTTTGTCAATTTTAAATTGATCGAAGCTAGGTAATACCTCACTTGCATTAAAATTTATTCGAGTTTTTGTGTCTAACGTCAACGAATTTTGCAGGTCAAGTACGGGAAAGTAATTTCAGCACTGGACATCTGCTCGGTAGAGAATATTGACGAAGCTGTAGAAGAAGCGAAGAAAAAGTTTCAAGCTATTCTTAAGATTCGCAAGTAAGAATTCACTAATAGTATTCAACTCAAGCGCCGAAAGTATGGCTTTTATTTAACAAGCACATGTTGTATAGTCGCTTTTTACAGATGTTTGATTACTTTGCTCAGGGAAAACCAAGCGAAAGAGTTGAAGGAGAAACCAAAGCCAGTAAAAGCAGATGGTGGAGACGTCCTCAACGTTACAAGTGGGAAGAAGGTATTACGACTTGTCTGCACATTCGATAAATACATGGTGGTAACAACAAATATGATAGCCTGGTGCATCAAGAATTTCTCATCCAATTACATTATTATGATAGCCTAAGTTTCCATAATTGAATGTATAGTTTACACACACGCCTCCTTGTGTAATATACCTTCTGACGTTGATTATTGTTAATCAATGCTTGCACTTATTCAGGTAAGTCTTGTGAAAGCTTTCAAATTATATAGTTAGTAAGAAATTTCGGCAACTGTGGATGTATTGAAGCTTATTTAAATGATATGGACTGTGCAGGTTCAAGAGGAGCTTAGACTACTTCCTAAATTCAAGTTACAATCAGGAAAGAAAAAGAAAGGGGCCTGGTCATAACATCATCGTTCATAGTTGTCATTTGGTCAAGGTGATGGGAATGAACCTAGGAACTTTTCTTTTACTAGTTTAGTACATGTTCATTCAATTCAATGTGACAAACACTTAAGATTCTTGCTTAGCATTTGATTAGGATTCATAGAGAGCTATTAGCTTATGCAGTCGCAATTGTTATACTGCCTGTACCTGTTGTGTAACCTACAATGCAACCTTGTACTAGTCATGATATTTTCTCAGGTCTATTATATTTCTGAAGTGCATTGCCTTAAGTTGTCACAATTCGGGTCACTTCACAGCAGGAGTCTGTTATATTTAACCACCAAACCTACTCAGTATGGGTCAAGGACAAGATTCATAACAACTTTCTGGCGCTGTAATACATCTTTAATGGGCTTATCAAACCTAGCAAGCCCTAACAAACTTGGCAAGTGAAAGGGTAACCCTTGCTGTTGTCACATTCTTCAGCAGCATCAAGAGATAACGAAAGTTGTGGAGGAGGAACTTATCATGAGCCCTCTGATAAAGAAATATTGATCTTCTTGACTGTGTTGTCTGTTTTGTTTAATACAGTTGATGGTTTTGATGTAGATCGATGAAAGATATATGAACATATAGTTTTTGTGTTTCTATAAAAACCTCTTAAATATTTGTTGAGTACTTTTAATGTTGTTTTGTTTCTAAATTGGTCTAAGCTTGTATGGTTCATTTAGATCCTTACTGTGATTCTTTTTTGCATATGGTATTATAAACCTATTGTTATTTATAATAAATATTATTTTTTTTACAAATCATTATTATATTATCAAACTATATTTTTGGTGTTAAATATTTTTAAATAAAATATTAATATACATCGTATTGGCTTTAATAGAAATAACAATTTGAGGTTTTTATCAATAACTTATGAATAGTTTTTTTGTTAAAAAAATCACAAGATTTTAAAATTATAATTAATGTCTACATAACATTTCAAATATTCTATTATATATAAGTCTTTCATTAAATTTACATTTTGATGTATTACTTATCATACTTTTTGTAAATAGTTGTACATAAATACAAAATTATCACAAGATATAGCATTAGGTGCCAAATTCCATTGGATGTATGTGATTTAGTTTGGATTTAGTGGTTTTCTATCTATTTAGCTTCGTTTATTAGTTGACTTTGTTAATATCAACTAGGATTTGAATACTTAGGTAGAAAAACCTTTTTGACTTAATATTCTTATCAAATCAAGTCTTGTGATTGTTTTTAAAAGAGAGAAAGGTTGTGTTGCAAGGATTTGCTTGGCTATGGAGATTTAGCCATTTTATAAAGCTTTAAGGTTTTCTTCTACTCACACTTACACTCTTAGATTCCTCTTTTTGTGGTGTGAAAGATATCTTGACTTATTTGTATGTAGATTCATCATCTTTCACTTGATAAGAATATTCTCTCTCTTTCAACTTGTAGTATAAAAAATTGAAACAAAATAAATTAAATTCTATTTTTTGTAATTTTATTTTCTAAGTATTGTATTTTTTTTATATTAGTTTTGGATATTGTGGTACTAAAGTGGTACTAAAGTGGTATTAGAGCCTATTGCGGTATTATACCAAAATACCACTTACGGATTACTATCTGATACAAAGGTGCAGCTTTGGATTGAGATAAGTTACAACATTGAAGAATTTGATTATAGATTGTGGAAATTATGTAAGGCAAGAAGAGCAACAACGTGATGTAGATTGTTCCATTATAAGATATGATATATAAGTAGTGAAAAGTAACCAAGCCAAAGTTATGTAATGTGGAGGGTCATGATACAAGAGTGTTAAATGGATATTTAGTAGATTAGAAAAGTAGGCCAAGACATCCAATTACTATTAAGTAAATCTTGGGCAGTTACTACTTTAAAGATAATAATTTTTTTTGGCAAATGAATGAAGATATGAATAGATGGTGACCTAGATGAATAAAAACTTGAATAGGTGAAGATCAAGATGGATGAAAAAAATAATTACAAAAAATAAAATAAAATAAAATAAAATAAATTAAGAAGCTGATTAGGATTTAGGATGTCGTGAGGATTTTTAACTCTTTCTTTATAGAAGAGGTGTATGAGTGTGTATGTCATGTGAGTTGTACTATTCAATTAGAAAAGAAATAGGAGTAAAACAGAGATAAGAATTTAAAAAATGATTTTAAAGAAAACTAAGATGAAGATTAAATAGACTAGTTTAAGATCATTATACTTTGATTTTAGAATATAAAATTTATATAAGAACCTTAAAGATGAATATACATACTATTATCTTATTTATTAGATCTAGGATTATATAAGTAATGGAGAATCAATCTACTAAGTGGATATGATAGATCAAATAGTTATGTATACATATCTATATTAAAGTAAGGTGAATAGAGCAAATTTGATTATAGATCAAAGTTTGAAGACCATAAACAATGTCATTACTAGGGACTATGATAGAAAATATATATATATATATTCAAAGAAGTGTAAATATAATATTTTTACATAGGCAATTATGCACAAGTTTGAATCACGTGGATTTTACTATGCTAGTTATAATAGTGTTGTTGCACTAGTACATTGACGGGTGGTAGGGATTTTTGTTGATTGTCATGGACACAGAAATACAAGCTCAAGATCTAACAAGAAGTTCAAGAAGAACTGGCAAGAACTAGATTAATCAGATGAATACAAGAACAACACTAGAGAGGTGAGCTAGAGCTCCAAGAGATGTGTTGTCGAGATTGAAGAACTCTTCAGCCTCGATTCCAATATATACTCCTATTTAGGAAGCTTCTCAAGCAACTTCTACCAACTAGGAAGCTTCTCAAGGGACTTCCACCAACTAGGAAGCTTCTTAAGCAACTTCCACCAACTAAGAAGCTTTTCAAGTAACTCCTACCAACTAAGAAGCTTCTCAAGCAACTTCAACCAACTAGGAAGCTTCTCAAGCAACTTCCACCAACTAGGAAGCTTCTAGAAGGTTCTAGAGACTTGCTTCTAGAAGGTTCTAGAAACTTGTCTCGAAAAGGTTCTAAAGATTATGTCCCTAACATCACCCCCTCCTTTAGCTTCGAGGTCTTTGAGAAGCAATATTATTATTAATCAGTACCAACGCAAGAAAATGAAGATTTGTCGCATAATGTCTACTATGAACTCCAACTGTTGTTCACGAGGCAAGTGGTTCATCGGTCCCTGAAGCCAATGGTAGAGGCCCATGCCTTCGACTTCTGACGAAGCATGAACTTCCGTGTCTTCATTGTGAAATTATCATACAAACATGCCTTCTGGCTGACCATCGTAAGCAGGCTCGAATTCAAATACAATCACCAGTGATTGGTTACTCCGTATCCTCCGTCATCGTCATGGTATAGGCGATTTTTTATCTCGGGGTCACCTTCGTGAGCTAGTCGATTGAGATAATCTAACTGGCATAGTATCTATCTCTTGGCTATCCATATCAGAAGGCTATTGAAAAAATTCTACTTTATCAACTACAAGTTTTGGTGGTGCTCTCTCCCTTTCTTATATTCTTGGATGAGCAAGCTTCAGAAAGAAGCTATCGTCAAACCGACTTAGGTTTATGAGGATGTTGTTGATGAAATTCCTGTACCTTTTGTGGCGCATTGGCAAGATGTTCAACTGGTTCCCACGTTCGCTCATTAATATCGTAGCCGCACCAATGAACAAGATGCTCCAACTTGCCCCACCTTTGCCATGAATCCAACACCTTTTCGACCTCGTATTCCTCGTGGTTCTCGATCTCAATACTAGGTAGCAGACATTGCACTCTTCCAGGAAAGGACGACTCTCGATAAGGCTCCAACAAAGAAACATGAAAGACTGGATGTACCTTCATAGAAGCCGGTAACTCCAACCGGTATGCCACTGGATTAATTTGTTTCTGGATGATAAATGGTCCCAATCTTCGATAGTCCAACTTATCACATGGTCGCTTGGTCTTGATATTTCGTCGAAGAAGCCATGCTTTGTCTCCAATTTTGAAAGTAGGTGCTAGATTCCGAAATCTATCTGTAGACGACTTGTAGTATTCTTGAGTGGATTGTAATTGAAGCTTCAACGTAGTTTGAAGCTCTAATAGTTATTTTGCAAATCTTTCAGCTGCTGGATTGTTATTTGTTGACGGACTCAATAAATCAAGCTTCAGATGATACCCATAGTTAGCAAAGAATGGTGTATATTGAGTCGACGCATGGAGGGTGTTGTTATATGCAAACTCGGCTAGCGGAAGATATGTGGTCCAATCATCTTGCAGATAGTTGATGCTGCATCATAAGTATTGTTCCAAGACTTAGTTCACCCGGTTCCATTTGGCCGTCAGTTTGAGAATGAAAAGCTAAAGAAAGCTTGATATCCACCTTCAGTATCTCAAAGAGAGATCTCCAAAACTGAGATACGAACAGGATTCTTTGATCTGATATGATATCATCTAGTAGTCCATGATATCGATACACATTATCGAGAAAGAGCCTTGCTGTGACTTCATTGGACGATGTCTTCTTGCAACGAACAAAGTGCGCCATCTTTGTAACTCGATCTACCACGACAAAGATACTGTCAAATGGAAGGTCCGTGATGAAGTCCATGGAAACTGATGACCATGGTCGACGTGGAATCGGCAATGGTTGTAGAAGTTCATAAGGGCGATGTTGAGGATTCTTGGATCTTGAACAAATATCGCAGGAGAGGACAAAATCTTTCACATCCTTCCACATTTGGGACCACCAAAAATCTTGAGAAATAAGTTCCAAGGTCTTGTTGAATCCAAAATGTCCCGCAGCTAGAAAATCGTGGCGAGATTGAAGAACTTGGAGTCGTGCTGGTCCTTTTGGGATATACAACTACTTCTCAAAGTATAAAAGATCTCCCTCCACCTTGAATTTGTCGTCATTGGCATATTGCTTGATATCAATGGCTACTGAATCTTTAATGGTCGCAGCTCGTACCTGATTCAAGAAGTCAACATCAATTGGAATAATAGTAGCACGAAGTCGAAATTACTCTGGCTTCAACAACGTCGTACATTGTTGATCAAACGTTGCTTCTCCAACCTTTGGTACAAGATACGATCTCTTCGATAAGGCATCAGATAGTCCTTGCTGCTTTCCAGATCGATAAGTGATAACAAAATCAAACCTAGATAACAACATATTCCACCGAGCTTGACGTCGATTTAGAACTCGAGCCAACATGAAATACTCCAAATTCTTGTGATCTG